TTGAAGGAACCTCACCACCAGCAAAGAACAAGCAAGAGAATGCAACTCGTCCTACAGGGCCAGAGGTCTTGGCCAGCTGGAGTGGGGCCTACAGGAACAACAGCCACAGCAGCTACAGCAGAGAACTAGAGACGTGACGTGACGGAGTGGAAGTTGGAGCTACTATGCCATGGAACCGGAGCTAAGCACCTCTTAACCAAGTTAGTTGGAGGATTGTGGGGCTGAGAGTCATAACTGGCAGGACTGAGAACTTTGTAACACTGGAGTAAAAGCACAAGGCTCAAGGCTGAAGTCCCTCCAGGCAAATTTCAAAAGCTGTCCTGACTGTATTCTGCTACTAATCGAGATTATAACCTTTTCATTTCCCCAGTATGGTTATGTGTGGTGTGTGAGCTATCACACTGGATTTTAGAATGGGCAAAGCAGTAATATGGGTGTTGAGATGAGTAGGAAGAGGTGTGAGAGCATGGGGGACATGTCTGACCTCATGGGAATTGGTTTTATGTTGCTGATGGGGACAATTCCGCGTTGTGAAGTTGGCAAAGGTCTGATATGGCTGTCCCCATGCAGCCCTTGCTCTTTTTACACAACCCAAGTGTCTATCAGCGGGTGAAGGGCTAGAAAGAACTATCATATATTCACATGTTGTTGTTGTTGTTGTTAGGTGTTGTTGAGTATGACCCATAGCAACCCTGTGAACAGCAGATCTGAACTCTGTCCTTTCCTGTGCCATCGTCACACTTCCTGACGTATTAGAGCCCATTGCAGCAGTCCCGTGTTGATTCACCTGGTCAAGGGTCTTCCACTCCTTTGCCCACCTTCACATCATGTCCCTCTACAAGAAATAACCCCTCCTAGCAACAAGCCTGAAGTGTGTGAGATGAAGCCTCAACATCTTTGCCTCCAAAGAACACTCTGGCTGGACTTTTTCCAAGACATACTTGTTTGTTTGTTTGACAGTCCATGAGATGTTCAGTGCTCTCCTCTAGCACCACAGCTCAAGGGCATCAATTTTTCTTGTGTCTTCTTTATTTGTTGTCCAGCTCTCAGATGCATAACAAATGATTGGAAAGGCCGTGGCCTGGATCAGATTCACCTTAATGCTCAAATTGACATCATTACTCCTCAATAGCTTGGAAAGGTCCCTAACTACAGACTTTCCCATTGCAATAAGTCTCCTAATTTCCTGACTGCTGGTACCACGGATGTTAATTGTGGATCCAAGTAAGATGAAGTCATTATCAGTTTCAACATTCTCCATCCATCATGATGTTGTCTCTTGGTCCAGTGATAAGAATCTTTTTGTTTTCTTGACATTGAGATACAATCCATATTGAAACCTGTATTCTTTGATCTTCTGCAACAAGTGCTTCAAGTCCTCCTCACTTTCAGCAAGCAAAGTTGTGTTATCTGTATAACACAGGTTATTAATGACTCTTCCTCCAAGCCTGATGCTACATTCCTATTCATAGAGTACACCTTCTTGAATGATTTGCTCAGCATACGGATTTAATAGGTTTGGAGAAAGAATACAACCCTTACACACTCCCTTCTTAATTTAAACCATGTAGTGATTGTTCCCTTGCTCCATTTGCACAACAACCTCCTAATCTAGGTTTAGGTTTTGCATGAGTCCTATTAAGTGCTCTTGGATTTCCACTATTCTTAATGTCAGCCATAACTTGTTTTGATACACACAAAACAATGTCTTTGCATAGTCGATAGACATTCTTCTGGTGAAGTTTCTGCCACCAACCTGAATTAGCCTTTGACTTCCCTAATATGTCCAGCATGGTCTCTGAGTTACTGTAATGTATTTAGAACATAGTAGAGCAGTAAGATTGGTATTGGGATTAGTAGAAAGGTGCAGGAGCATGGAGGGCATGTCTGATCTCTTGGGAATTGGTTTTGTGTTGTTGATGGGGACAGTTTCCCTTTGTGGAGTTGGTCAGATATGACCATCCCCACATGGCATGTGATCTTTTTACACTGGTTCACATGATACTTTTATGGTTAACTTTGTGAGGAGCTGCCAGACTATTTTCCACATAACGAGTCATTTTATATTCTCACCAGTAATGGAAAAGCCCTCAACTTCACATCCTTGCAACAATATTTTTTTAAAAAAATTATTGTGACTTGAGTGAAAATTTACAAAGCATATTATCTTTTTTCAATCCATTATTCATGCATATTTTGTTCCATAACATTAGTTACACTCCACAAGTGTTTGATTATCATTCATTCCCATGTCCTTCTCTTTAACCATCTTAGTAAGTGTTCATTTTCTATCCATAATTTTTTACTCCTGTCCCTTCCCCTCCACGCAAAACTATTTTATAAAATAGTTACCATCATGAATATATAGGGGAGCTCTGGTGGCCTAGTCCATGGAGAATTGACTGCCAGCTTTAAGGTGGTTATGCTCTGGAGGTTCGAATCCACCAGTTGCTCTGAGGGAGAAAGATGAGCAAGCTCCTCCTGTGGGATTTACAGCTGTGAGTCACTTCCATCTCAAAAGCAATGGGTTTGAAGTTTTGACCAGTAAAGGATGAGCCTTCAACTTCTCATTCTTGAAACATCTTTTTAAGATGCTTAAAAAAAATAGCTACCATAGGGAATATAAAATTGTTTCTCCTTGTGGATTCAAGTTTGCATCATGGTGGCTTAGTGGTAAGGAATTGTGCTGACAACCCAAAAGACACGTGGTTCAAATCCACCCATTGCTCCATAGGAGAAAAAGGAAAAGATGGCCAAAGTGCCCGTGGGATCTATAGCTTTTGAAAACCTCCTGAAGGGTCAGCTATGAGTTGGTTCCCACTCAATGGCACACAAAAACACCAACATCCTCCACAGCATCCATGTTATGTAGTGTTTCATGAATTCTTCACAGTTTTTCATCATTGTATGGTCTTCCATTGTGTAAATGTATCACAGCTTCTAATAGCATCTTTTGTGAAATGTCTTTTGCCCAATTTATAGTCTCATAGTTTGTTCTTCTTGTTAATTTTCCCCCAAAATGATGCCTGTAGGAGTTCTTTATTCATCTCAAACACTGGACTATTATCCGATGTATGTTTTCCATTCTTATGAGTTGCTTTCTTTTTATTTTCAGTGTCCTTAAACACAAAGCTTTAAAATTTGACAAAGCCTAACCTTACTTTCTGTTACTTATATTTTGGTGTGAAATCTAAGAAACCAGTGCCAAATACAGCATCAGGAAGACTTGCCCTTGTGTTACCATCTAAGCATTTCATGGCTCAGCTGCATTTTTACCTTTGAGTCAAGTTGAGTTTTGTGTGTGGTGTGAGGCATGGGCTCATCTCGTTCTTCGGTGTGTGGAAACCCAGCTGTCTCAGTGATATGCATTTTCACAGGTTATTTTGTTAAAACATAGAACAGGACAGAGCAAGGTATGTGGGTGTGTGCAGGGGCACAAGGTCAGGGGCTTTTACAGTAACAGGTGGCAGATGCTGGTGGCTTTGGGATAAGGTGGTAGTGATGGAAGAGATAAGAATGGGATGGGGATCCTGATGTGTGCTTGTTTTGTTTGTATGTTATTAATTGTCATCAAGTTCATTAGCAAGACTTGAATGTTGTTATGAAAGGAAAGTATGAATAAGGATCACTGTAAGATTTATAATCTGATCAGGGTAAACATGCATGTTGTCTTCTGAGATGGACATAGAGAAGCAGTGCAGGGCAGAAGCGTACAGTGAGGGTATGCTGAGTATTAAACCAATTTTAGATGTTCAGGAGAGGTAGCGGGGTGTGAGGGTCTGCAGTTTATGGGAAAGGACTGCTCTGTAGAATCTGTCATTGGCATAGAGATTATGTGACTATGAGCTGGAATGAATCCTCTGAGGGGGAAAACACAGATAAGTGAGAATCCAGAACTGAGAAGAACCCTCTGTGTATTGAGGACGTCAGAACAGGGAACTAGAATGTGTGGGTGGCTAGGAGGGTGGGGGAGAACAGAGCATGGTGGGGGCTTGGAAGCCAAGGGCAAGGAATACTTTTGGGAATAGGCGTGAGCCCCAGGGCTGATGCTGGGATGGGGAGACCTGTGGCAGGCTAACACCCGCATCTGTGATTATTTTATTGCACTATCCAGTGGGAACCTACTCATAGCTGACCCTCCAGTGGTTTCCAGAGGCTGTAAATCACACAGCCGGAGAGTGCCCATCTCTCCTGAGGAACAGCTGGTGAATTTGCACCTCCTGCAACTCATGAATGGTTTTCTCCTGTTGTCTTCTGACTGTTTATAGAGATTAATTTTTATTTAAAAAATTGCATTTCTCACACAGGTCTTATTTCTTTAATAACTACATTCTCTCTCCAAGACTGTGTATGCCATGTGGTCTGCACAGGTGCCTGGGGGGTTGCAGTGAAGATCCTGTCAGAAACCTCTGGATCCCTGCCCCCTGAGCCTTGGTCACCCCACCTGTAACTAGGGTTCACAGTTATAATACTGGGGGCATTCTGGGGTATGCAAGAGAGAAGCCCTGGAGGGCTGTGTGGGTTCCCCTCCCTGTCATGGACAGTTAGGGTGTCTGAGGCCAGTGGACACTCCATAGACTGGCGGAGAGCAGGACCATGAGGGTGGATGTTGTAACAGGGCCATTTGTAGGCGTCCAGCCTGGGAGAGGCCAGGTCTAGTGTGTCCCGTGGGAAATGGGGGGTGGAGGATTCCAAGTGAATTTCTGGAACCCCCTGCAGGTATGGAGGGTGCTGGCCAGGCCTGGGCGTACCCACTGCAAGTGCTCTGGAGCAGGGCTGAGTGAGCCCCCCACAGGGCAGAGTTCCCATGGACCAGGCTGTGTGGAGGGATTTGCTCTCTGCAGTGGGCACACTGGGCCTGTGAGGGGCTGTGCTTCAAGGAACAAGCTGGGGTGATTTCTGAACCTAGGGCTTGTGGGCAGCAGACGGACAGTATGTTGCTATGTGCGCCAGTCACTGTTCCAGCACGCACAGGCCGATCACTCTATGCGTGTCCCCAGAGCCATCCTGCAGCAGCGTGGCTCTCCCACAGATGCCGCCATCGCAGCCCTGGTCTGCACCGGTGTTGTCCACCCTCAGAGCATGGGCCTGGGTGGAGGGGTCATCTTCACCATCTACAACGCGACCACAGGTGGGCCCAAGACCCCATGGGTAGTGAGCCAGTCTAACACCTCCACACCAGTGGAAAGGGAGAGTGGTCCTCAGAGCCCCAAATAGGCAGTGGGGCCTGTCCTTCACAATCACCCCCATATGCTCCACCTTGTGCCCCACGCCTTCCCATCTACTACACCCTGTGCCCGTCCCGGCCCCCCATCAAATTCCCCCTAAGTCCCGAGGCCCCACACTCTTCCCCTTATACACTCTATCCCCCATGCCCTCCCATCTCCCACTCCCTGTCCCCCACACCTGCCTATCTCCCACACCCTGTCCCCACCCCAGTGTAAAACAAAGCCCTATGTCAGGACCTGCCTCAGTGTGAGCACTGTCTTACGGTCTAAGGAGGGAAACTAAGACAAGAGCCAGCAGCACTGAGGGGGTGCATGGCGTGGGGCAAACCCTGGCAGATGACTCCTGCTCTCCAGGACTGGTAGGGACCCCCTGACTTCCCTTACACCTCTCCCGGCTCCAGGACATGTGGAGGTCATCAACGCCCGGGAGACAGTGCCCATCAGCCCTAGCCCAGGTCTGCTGGACCAGTGTGAGCATGCCCAGCCTCTGGGCACAGGTAAGGCAGAGTGCCCTGGCCTCACTCCAATCTGAGGGGCAGCTGGCTCCCAAACAGGCTGTGTCCCTGACCCCAGCTGATGGGTGGAGGATCTCTCAGTGGGCCAGCTGCCTGAACCGAGGCTTGGAAACCAAGAGGGTTGGTGTGGCTGGGCGGGAGGCCTGGGGCCAGATTTGGGACTGTGGCCTTTGGACAGCAGGAGCTGTGGGGTGAGCTGGAGTGGCAGATGTGTACCTCCTGGGGGGAAGTGAGGGGTGAGGGGTCTGGGGTGGGCCTGGAGTCCAGGTGGTGACACCAGCTGCATAAAGGGGCTCAGTGGATCGGAGTTCCCGGGGAACTCCGGGGCTATGCAGAGGCCCACCGCCGCCATGGCCAGCTGCCGTGGGAACAGCTGTTCCAGCCCACCATCGCCCTGCTGCGCCAGGGCTACCGTGTGCCCCACGTCCTTGGCCAGTTCCTCAGCCACAGCGTCCTGCAGCCTGTCCTCCGCACCTCGTCCCTGAGGTGGGTGGTGACCAATCCCAGAGCAGCTAGCCCTTTGGGACCCAAGCCAGGGCTATACCTCACCTGGGGACCTCACCCCACCCTAAAGCTGCCCCCCCATCCTAGGCAGCTCTTCTTCAAAGGGACAGAGCCCCTACAGCCTCAGGACCCGCTGCCATGGCCCGCGCTGGCTGCCACCCTGGAGACTGTGGCCACAGAGGGTGCCGAGGCCTTGTACACCGGGGCGCTGGCCAGCATGCTGGTAGAGGATGTGGCCCAGGCAGGTGGGTGAGCTCAGGCCACAGCCTCCCACCCCTACGGCCAGGACCAGCTCTGGGTGTGGACGGAGTGGCCCTGCTGTCCGATTAGCCTCAAAGGACTATACCTGCCTGTCTGTGAGCCTAGACGGGGAAGTGATGGATCCTGGGTGAGGGCTGCCAGAGGCCCCAGGGCCCACAGTCTCCTGGAGGCCTGACCCACTCCTGGCCTCAAGGCCCCACGGCTTCAGCCATTCATCCCCCAGAAGCTTTGTAACCTGGAGCGGCAGCTGCCTTTCCCTGCCTCACTTTCCCCAAATGTCTGCAGGCACCTGGCCAGGGATGGGCGTCCTGAACCCTCTCTGTCTCACCCCAGGGGGCTGGCTGACCCTGCAGGACCTCGCAGAGTTCCACCCTGAGGTGATGGATGCACTGGCTTTGCCTCTGGGAGACCACACCCTGTACTCAGCACCACCGCCAGCAGGGGGCGCCGTCCTTGGCCTCATCCTCAGTGTCCTGAGAGGTAAGATTGTGGCCTCCGGTCAGAGCTCATCCCATGAGGCTCTGCTGAGTGTCCACCTCACACTGGATGACCTCTCCAGAGCACGGGAGCAGATAGGCCTACAGGTGCCAAGCAGAGTGAGGGCCAGACCCCACCAGCCCACTGTAGGTGGTACTGCATCCTGGCCACACCTGGTGCCCAGGCCCTGGGCTGCTTAGGACAGAAAGCCAGAGAGCTTGTCACATAGAAAAGTGTCCTCCCTCAGGTCTGGGGGCTGGACCTCTGCAGCCAATCAGTCCTGCACCACGTCGAGCTCCTAGCTGTGGCCAGCGTTCCCCCTACCTTCCCATCTCTGCCACCTTCTCCATCCACATGGCCTGCTCTTCTCTGCCTGTCTTGTGGGGAGGCAGGTTGGAGGCATAGGGCCCCCCCTAGGAGAAATACCCCCATGTTTCCCACACACGGTAATGGCTTTGAGCTTCGGGAGTCAGGTAGAGGTTTTTTGATGGGGAGACCCAGGGCCCGAGCCCCCTATCTGGCCACCACACAGTGACCAACCCTCCCTAGGGTTCAACTTCTCTGTGGAGTCCGTGGCCAGGCCTGAGGGCCGCGTGGATGTGTACCACCGTTTGGTGGAGACGCTCAAGTATGCAGAGGGGCAGAAGTGGCGCCTGTGGGACCCTCGCAGCCATGTGGAGGGCCAGGTGCGGAGCCCCAGGGGATGGTCCCCTCTGTGGCCCAGTATAGCAGGCTAGGGGGAGAGTCCTGAGGTCTGGGCATCTGTACAGAGGTCTGTGGGGGCGTCTGCAGTTCCAAGTGGCCACAAGGAGGAAGTGGTTGGTCTGGGAGTGGGTAGGGGGAGGGGAGGAGGGTGGGGACAGTGGTGGTGCTGCAGGGCCTGGAGGGTGGGCAGGAGTCTGCACAGAGGGTCCCCAAGGGCACTGATTCAACCAGCCTCTTGGCTCTGTGCCCCTCAGAATGCTTCCCAGGACCTGCTGGGGAAGACCCTGGCCCAGCACATCCGGCAGCAGATGGACACCAGGGGTGACCACCCACTCAGCCACTACAGGCTGCCCGGGGTTCAGGGCCAGCCGACAGGCACAACCCACGTGTCCGTGGTGGGCGAGGATGGCAGCGCCGTGGCGGCGACCAGCACCATCAACACCCCGTGCGTGTGCTCACTCCTGGGCCCCCAGGACATCAGCGTCTTACTGTTGGCCTGGGGCAGGCCTCCATGCCTGGGGGCAGGCCAGGATTTCCCAGGAAGTTGCCTGGTGGGGGCAGGTGGGGCTTGGGAGCCCTGTAAGTGAGTCTAGGGCAGGGCAGCTCTGGAGGGGCGTGGTGGTGGCCTGGGCCCAGCCTCTGTCTCCTCCACAGCTTTGGTTCCATGGTGTACTCCCCTCAGACCGGCATTCTGCTCAACAATGAGCTTCTAGACCTGTGCTGGAGACGCCCCGTGGGTTCCAGCATCGCTCCTGCACCTGGTGAGCGCCAGGGCCTCAGGCCCATCACCCTGGTTCCCCAGAATTTGGCTGGAGAGGCTGGTGATGAGTGGGAACACAGTGTGGGGTGCTCCAGGAAGGCAAGGCAACCGCTTAGAAACAGTGCCTGGTCCCCAGTTCCAGGTGAACGGCCGCCCTCAGCCATGGTTCCCTCCATCTTGGTCAACAAGGCCCAGGGGTCAAAGCTGGTCATTGGTGGTGCTGGAGGGTCCCTTATCATCTCTGCTGTGGCCCAGGTGAGTCTGGGGACCCCTGGCAGGAGCACCCCCTCCCCGGGGAGCCCCTTTGCATCCTGCTTTGCTTTGCTGGAGGGCGGGCTGGTTGTGACGCTCCCTTGCAGAATCCTCCTCTCTCCAGGCCATCATGAACAAGCTATGGCTTGGCTTTGACCTGTGGGAGGCCATCACAGCCCCCATCCTGCATGTGGACGGCCTGGGCCGCGTAGCCTATGAGCCCAGCTTCAGTCAGGTGAGTCAAGTGACCATGGACCACGCCTTTGGTGAGTGCTGGACAAAGTCCGGGAGGATTTTGGTGGTCAGAGGTCTGGAAAACTTGGCTGGGGCGGCTGTTCCCCAGATCTGCTCTCACCGCTCTCTGGCTTTCTTCTCCTGGCCACTTCATTCAGCCTGTCTGCTGTGGGACTTGTACTTGTGATCTCGCCTGTATGAGGAGCTGTCTGTCCTGGGAAATGCAGAGGGATTTTCTTCTGGGCCGTTGGAGTCTTTTTTTAGTTCCCCCACAAATGCCCATGGCGTAGGTCTGGGGAAGCTGAACTTTCTAGACTTTTTCCCACCCCAGACAGATGAGGAGCTTCCTCAGAGTGTCTTTGGGCTAAGGGGTGTCCTTTATCAGAATGAATTAGAAAGAAGGCTCCAAGCTTTGTATCCTGAGGGCCATTTCAGCTTGCCAAGGTCAAGGCTGGAAGTTGGATTTCTTGTTGGGAGTCTGCCTCAAGGCTCCTTCCATGACCCATCCTTGACTCAGGATGAGGGCTCATGTTGGCTCGGGTTGAAAAGCTTTTGCTCCAAGTTGTTATGCGACGTTGAATTATCTATAGCTCATAGCAACCCTATGAACAATGGCTCTGAACCCTGCCTTATCCTGAGACATCTTCACTGTCTTCGACACACTTGATCCCATCGCTCCAGTCACTGAGTCTCTCCATCTCATCCAGGGCCTTCCTCTCCTGCACTGTCCCTCACCCTTCTAAATATGATGCCCTTTTCTAAGGACTGATCCCTCTTGGCCATGTGCCCAAACTATGTGAGACAGAGCTTCAAAATCCTTACCTCCAAGGAAAAACTTGACTTCGCCCAGTCCAAGACAGACAGACCTTGTTAGTTCTCTTGAAAGTCCATGGTATATTCAATATTCTTCCCCAGCACCACAACTCAAAGGCATTGATTCTTCTGTCATCCTTAGTCATTGTTCAGCTCTCAGATGCATAGTAAGTAATTGCAAAGACCATGGCCTGGATCAGGATCACCTCAGTCTCTAGACTGACACCATTGCTCTTTAGCATTCTGTAGAAGTTCCTAACAGCAGATTTTCCCAACACAGTCAGTCTTTTGGTTTCCTGACTGGCTGTGTCAAGGGTGTTAATTGTGGATCTAAACAAAATGATATCACTAACAATCTCAAGCTCTTCTCCATCTATCATGATCCTGCCAATTGGCCCTGTGGTAAGAATCTTTCTTTTCTGGATGTTGAACTTCAATCCATATTGAAGACTACATACAGTCCTTGACGTGCAGCAAATGCTTCAGGTCCTCCTCAGCACATAGATTGAAATGGTATGGAGACAGGATAAAGGTATGGTTTCCAAGAAACTTGCACTAAGGACCTCAGTTTACTGGGTTCAGAATCTCAGAGTCTGAGGCCAGGCCAGAGTCAGGTCTTCTCAGGACCATAATTCCAGAGACTTTAGGAGGATCTCAGGATGCCGGCTTCAGCACCGTATTCATTTCCAACGTGGGCCTTGGCCACATCGTTCAGGTCCTTAGTCTGCAAGCCTCTGTGACTGTGGTTCTTGGTCAGTAACACCAGGCTGTGCAAATCTTCCACCACAATTCTAGACTCCAGGATCCGGAAGCTGAGTTTTCAAAAACCTTCACAACTGAGACCCAAGACTGAGGTGAGGAGGGCCTTCAAGATGCAGGGTCCTAGATTTAACCACTAGGCTCTGAGGAACGTTGCCTCTGAGGCTAAAAGCCCTGTAGCCTTTGCAGTCAGAACCTGGGCCTTCAAGGATGTTGAGCAGTTAATGGGCTGGACACAGGGACCCAGTGAGAGAGGGTGTGGCACTTCAAATACTTTGTCTTTACTCTGAAAGGGACCACAATAGAAGATCCAAGATAGAGAAAAATGTGGAACAAAACTCAATATTATGAAAAGGCTAGGATTGCTGGTATGCAGGAGGAACCTCTGTGGACTGTGACCCTTGGTCACCACCTTTCAAGCCAGGAATGGGACTCAACCCTGACTCAGCTTCCAGCCACAACAGATAGGCCTGCACCCTGAACAATAGCACCTGGGGAGTGTGCAGCCCTCAGAGCAGTCAACCATGGAGATCAAAGGGCAGGTCTGGCTGGGGATAAAGCTTAGAGGGCAGGAAAGGAGCAAAGGATGGATGGGAACAGTTAGCAACGAGGGGGAGTGCGAAGAGTGCAGCTACTTTACAATCAGTGTCACAGACCAAAAATGTATGAGTTGTAGAATGGAAGAGAAACAAGCAAGCCCTCATTGTCCCAGAGGCTCAGGTGGTGTGGTCGCATCCAATGGCCTTAGAATTAGGCCATCTTCATCTTGAAGACACAGGACGCGGGGAGCTCTGTCCCCAGGTGTCCTTGGCATCTGGAAGCCTGGTGGGAGGGCAAAGGCTTTGGGGTGTTGGTCTGAGATGGTACCTCAAAGCATGAGGCCTAGTCCACTCAGGTCCCTACACTCCCAGGATTCCTGGCCCTTTGTGGGCCCTTTGTACGAGGCCTGTAGTCAGTTCAAGTCAACACGGTCACTGACTCCCTCAGGGTCCACGGCTTGATGTCTGGGGGTCAGAGTCTTTATAATTTTGTTGTCTGAGCACCTCAGACGCATGGAGTCTATTTCCTTGACCTCTTGGTTGGTAGGAGTGAGAGGTGTCTGGGACTTTGAGGCCTCTTCTTGGCTTATTAATAGGACCAACAGAACCTTGAGTTGCTGGGCCTGAGTCTGAGCACCAGGGAGCCTGACTGCTGGCTGTGGATGGTGAGGGGCTCAAATCTGCTCAGGCGTGTTGTGGTCAAAGATCTGGAGTTTCTGCACGTGTGTGTGTATGTGTGCTTGGTATGTTCCTGGTGTTAAAGGTCCTGAGTCTCTGTATAGGTGGTGGACTTCAGGTCCTCCACACCTTAATGTTGACGGTCTTGAAGCTCCACAAGGCATCACGAGGGTTGTTTCCCATTCTGCTAACTTAATGCCAGACCCCCAGCCCAGGCATAGAGGGGCCCAAACGTCCCGTCCTCCCTCCCACCCTCCACAGGGCTAAGCACCATGCCACAAGCCCCACAACCACCCTTCCTCCCGCACACAAGCCGGTGGCTCCCCACCCCCAATCCAGCCCTCTACCCCCTTCACCCTGCTCCTTGAAGCTCCTCCCCCTCCTACTGGACAAAGGACTTTCTCTCCACCCAGAAATGGGCGCTGAGGTCTGTGATGAGTTTCTGCACTGGGGATGGCAATGTTGGGGACACCAACCCCGGTGATCCTACAGCCTTGGCATTCCCCACCCCTCCCCCGGCTCCAACTGTCCTCATGCCTGCCTGGGATGCTGGGGTCCTCTGGCGGTGTCAGGGATGCAGGCCACACTCCTTACTCTGCTGGGGGCACCACTGCATTTACATGTGCCAGGACAACATCTCCTGCATTTTAGGGTGCAGAGATCTTTCATCCCCTGTGTGTTGGGACCTTGGGCCCTATATGGCACAACAACCCTCATAAATGGGCCCTGCACACCTGAGCATCTTTATCCTCGACATCTTGAATGCAGAGATCTAGCAGCAGGGAGATCCTGAGAAGCCCTAGAATGTCTATTCTAGAAGGTTTCACTTTCAAGGTCTTCAGACCTCGCCTCCTGTAGGTTAAGCCCCTAGAAGCTTCCTCTTCCACCAGTGCTCTCAAAAGGGCTCCATCTCCACATTCTGAGCACCTCAGTGTCTCCGGGGCTCCACCTCAGCATTCTGAGAACCAGTGTCCTGAGAGCTCAAGTCCTGCTTTCTGAGAACTCAACGTCCTCAATTCTCCACCCCTGCATTCTGGAAACTCAGTGTCCTCCAGGCTCCACCCCTGCATTTGGAGAATCTTAGCATCCTAGGGCTCCACCCCTGCACTCTGAGAACCTCAGTGTCCTAGGGCACCACCCCTACATTCTGAGAACCTCTGGGCTCCACCCCTACACGCCAGAGAACCTCAGAATCCTCAGGGCTCCACCCCTGGATTACGAGAACTGGGGTGCCCTTTGACCCAGCACAGGAATGGACTTGCATCTCTAGGTCCTTCTAATGAAGACGTCCCTATATCCCATGGGCTGACTGCAGACAGTGCCCTGCAGACCGGGCTGACTTGCTACATCCAGTGTCTTTCCTGGGGACATCTCAAGAGTCTGAGGACTGAGCCCCTCCCTACATCTCAGTGGATGTCTTAAGGTCCCGGTGACATCTTTCTCCTTCTGCAGGTGACCTAAGCACCTTCCCTCTTTCTCCTCCAGGAGGTGCGGCAGGGGCTCCAGGACAAAGGCCACAATGAGACCACACTGCCCTTCTTCCTGAATGTGGTCCAGGCTGTGTCGCAGGAAGGGGCCTGCGTGTACGCCGTGTCAGACCCCAGAAAGGGTGGGGAGGCCGCTGGATATTAAGGTGGCTGTGCTTGCAGGCAGGGCTGGCCATGGCTACAGCCAGAGGATGGTTGGCCTGGAGGATGAAGTGGTGAGGTGGTCTCGTCCCTGACACCCCACCCCAGTCCCAGTTTTGGCCCAGCCTGCCTCTCTTGCCTTCCAGAGGCCACCCCGTGGCTGCCTAGCCCTCCTCGCTGGCCTCAACTGCCCCTGGATATTTTCTAGTCCAAGATTAAAGAACAAGCTGATCCAGAGGCTAAGGTGGGGTGGGGAAGTTCCTTCAGAAGGGTCCATGTGGGGGTGAGTCACCAACACCCCACATGACCTGCCCCCTGTGGGGAGCCAAGGCCTGCAGCAGGATGGGCCTCACAGGCGTCACAGAGGCAGGGCCCCATGGGTACCCCACTCCAGTCAGTATTCCATATCAAAGATCGAGCAAACAGAGCCTAGAAGAAGCAAAACTAGCTGCTGCCTGCACCTGAACAACCCACCTTTGCCAGACCAGCATCCTCACCCTGGCGCTGTAGACATCTGGGGCCAGAGCATTCTAGATGTGGCAGCTGTCCCCCTTACAGAATATTGGAGGGTACCTGGGCCTTCACCCCTTAGACGCTATAGCACCCAAGCTGTGACATTCTTGCCTCAAGTCATCACCAGGTCACCCCCTCAAAATACCACTGTTTTGGCCAGCTAGGCTCCAAATGGCTGTGAACTGATTGTGGGGACTTCCTGGGAGCTTCGAGATTCCAGTTTCTCCCCACAGGATATTGGTGGAAGGCTGAGGGCTGGCCACTGCTGTAAGAATCAAGTTTCCTATGGCCACTGGAAGCACCACACGCTGGGGACAGTGCTTCCATGAGGCAGGACAGGGAGCTGGGAGGAGGGGTCCCGCCCTGCCCATCACAGTGCACACTGCCCCCTCGGCCTACCATGGGGTCTGACTGTGGAAAGGGCAGTTCCTGCTCAGAGATGTGGAAAAGGGTCACCTGGCAGAGCAGTGTCTGTGGAGCCGAAGGACTTCTGAGGTGGAATCTGGCAGTTTGATGGTCTCACCCCAGACAGCCTCCTGGCACCTGCCACTGAGGCCAAGACACCCACAACTTCATAGTCAGCAGACCCTCATGACAGACCATCTCCCTGCCCCCACCCTTGTTGTTCAATGGAAGTTGCAGGTCCAATTTTCATTGATACAAAAGGTGTTCATTCCTGAGCTTTCTGGTGGCCAGAGAGTGGGCATGTGGGGGTGCTGACTGCCTTAGTCCCATAGGGCCCACTGTCTGACACCAACCTGAGAGCTGAGGGGAACCCGGGGCAGGGACCACTCCAGACAGCCACAGGCCTCCCACACTAGCTCTTGGTTAGAGGGGCTGGGAAGGGGCCTCTGCCCAGCCTGCCCACCAGCAAAGAGAATCAGTGAGGACCCCACACTCATCTGAGGTGCCAGCCTTCCCCATGCCCTCTTCCTAGTACATCCACCAGGGGGTGTTGTTGGCCCTCCTGTGAATGTCACCCACCCTGTGGGTCTGTCACCTGTGAACCTAGTCTTGTGGGGCTGACTGTCGACCAGGCACCTGGGCTACACACCCTCAAGTGCCAGTCAGCCCCCGAGGCAGCCTGAGGTCCCCATACCCTGAGTGAAGGCTCAGTTCTCAGCTGCTTGCTCCCCACATCAGCATCCCTGCCACTCATACCACATCTACCCACTTTGATGGACCCTGGACTGTGTAGAGATTGCAGCTCCTGACGGGCCCTGGATGGTGCACCCAGACTGCTGTTCCTGATGGGCTCTGGATGGTGCAGACAGTGGCTCCCGATGGGCTCTACATGGAACAGAGATGGCAGCTCTACGTGGCCCAGCCCAGAGCCTGCTCCCCTCTTTCCTGCTCATTGCCCAGGGGCATATCCCCGCCCTGGCCACCAACAGCTGACAGCGCCTGCAGCACCACAGGCACCACCCCCAACCCCGGACATCGCCACAGCACACACAGGGATGCACATGCCAAGCACAGCTCGAGATCACCGCCATGGCACCCATACACGCCATTAAAGAGGGTGCACGGGGGGTGGGGGTGAGGGGAGAGGCATTGTGCCAAACAGTTATAATCACAAGAATAAAGTGGAATAAAACATTTCATTCCAGAGCCCTGGGTGTTGTGTGAAGGTTGGTATTTCAGGTCGACCAGCCAGCTCTTCGGGAGAAAGACGAAGCCATGTGCTCCTGGGTAGAGGAGAACCAGCTCTGGCCCCGACAGCCCGTGGACAGAGCTGAGAGGGAAGATCCAGCTGCCTTCATGCTGACATGCGCCGTGGGCCGCTGCAGCTCTTGTGTGTCGAGCCTTGTCTTCCAGCAGGCCGCTGGATAACAAGCTCCACAGAGGCTGTTTTGGTTTTTAGTTTTCACAGTTATGTGGTTCATTAGGGAGTTAGCAGGTTACAACTCACAACTGACCCTCCAGTGGGTTCTCAGAGGCAGTAAATCATAGGGGAGAAGGCCCATCCTTCTGTGGAGCAGCTGGTAGGTTCTTACCACAAGGCCACCTGGTTTGAACTGGGGCTGTTGTTGTTAGGTGTTTAGTATGATGCATAGAGAGCCTGTGAACAACAGACCTGAACCCTGTCCTAGCCTCTGCCATCCTCGTCATCTCTACATGCTCGGTCCCACTGCTGCAGTCACTGTTTGAACCCATTTAGTTGAGGATCTTCCTCTCCTTTGTCGACCTTCCATCTTACCAGCAGATGTCCCTCTCCGAGGAACAGTCACATGTCCAAAGAATGTGAGTCAAAGCTCCATCCTTGCCTCCAACGAACATTCTGGCTGCACCTTCTCCAGGACATATCTGTTCTTTTGGTGCCCGGTGAGATATTCAGTACCCTTCTCCAATACCACAACTCAAAGGAAGTAGTTAACTATTTAAGGAGTTCTCATCCTGGTTTGATTCCTTCTGTGTCACCTCTGCTTGGTGGGGAGAAGTAAATCTTCCATGTCTGGAGACCACCTTCTACTGGGGTGTTTTCCTGATAGGAGGCCTATCCATATTGCAGCCTACCAGCCCTTGTCCTCGTCCCACACTCCCTTTGCTCTCTCTGACCCTGACAGGTAACAGAGGTGGAAACTGGACAGGCAAGCAGGGAAAACCCATCTTCCCACCAACCTCACATCATATAAAAAAATTCACCCAGGACAGTGACTTTGACCTCATACAATAGTCAAAACAATTGTCGGCACAATTCCTGCTACATCATTTCTTGTAAAGACCTTCACTTCCCTGCTGAAATACATGTGTCTTTGTTAAAAAAAAAATTCAAGAAACCTATCACATTTAATGCAAATCATAAATATATAGTAGTTAAAACATTGAAGTGCTAGCATGGAAATAAACTTTGACTCAATCAGCTACAACACAAAAAGAAATTCTGTCTACATTCAAGGAAGATTTCAAATTAGTATGGAAAAGAATCATCAGGAATTGGTATTTAGTGCTCGCTTCGGCAGCACATATACTAAAATTAGAATGATACAGAGAAGATTAGCATGGCCTCTGTGCAAGGAAGACGTGCAAATTCGTGAAGCCTTTCATATTTTTCCATGTAATTGTTGTAAGTATATAAAAGTAAAATGTATGTGAATTTATTACATTTGCACTATTATAATGGCATTTGATTAAAATAAGAAGATTTTTAAAAATGGTATTTAACAAAGTAACTCCATATGCCATTACTAGGAATATACCCTCAAGACATGAGAACTGAGGCGCAAATGGAGATCTGTATGCCAGTGTTCACAGCAGCGTTACTCACCATCGCAAGAACATGGAAGCAGCCCAAATGTCCAACTACAGGTGAAGGAACTGGGAAATTGTGGTACATTCACACAATGGAATACTATGCATTACCCAGGAGCAACAATTAAAAAAAAAATACTACTTAACTTGAAGAGACTGGAGAGCATTATGCTGAGTGAACTCAGTCTCATAAGGACAAACACTGAATAAGACCATTATTGTAAAAACAGAAGGATAACTAGGAAAACATATATGGTGACCCAAGGTGGGAAGGGGTGGGAGCAGAGAGATGAGGATGGGTAGGGGCAAAAATCACAGGATTCCAGTTTGGTGATTGGAGGAAAGGGGTGCAAGGAAAGGGGAAGGATCCAGTGGGGACCTGAAAAGATGGGTAATGATGGGAAGGTCTAATAGCAATTGTTTTTATAAAAAATAATGCATGGGAAGGGGGCTCTGGTGGCCTAGTGGTAAGAAGCCTGAAGGCATGCAGTTCAAATCCACCAGAAGCTTTGCTGGGGAAGGAAGGGCAATCTCCTCCTGTGCCAGTCATATCCAACTCAACGGTACACAGCAAGAAAAAAACAAAAACCAAACAAACAAAAAACCATAAGGCATAGTGTGAAACACAATGTATATGAACTTTGTCAGAAAACCAATGTAAAATAAAAAAACAAGATAAGACAAACAAAACATCCTAAAAAAAATGGCATTTAGCAATAAGGTGCTGACTGGACATTGTAATTAGTTAATTATATTAATCAACAATTGTTATGTGCCATCAAATTGTCTACGACCCATAGCGACCCTATGTACAACAGCTCTGAAGCCTGCCCTGTCCTGAGCCAGTCTCACTGACTCCAACACAACTACCCCCATTGCCCTAGTTAATGTCCTAATCCATCTCATCTGGGGTCTTCCTCTCCTGCACTGTCCCTCAACCCTTCTGAGCATGGTGTCCTTCTCCAAGGACCCAAAGTATATGATATGGAGCTCCAGCAGTCTACTCTCCAAGGAGAAACTTGGTTTCACTCTCTCAAAGACAGACCTATTTGTTTTCTTGGTGGTCCATGGTGGTTAATGTTTTAAAATAAAATGTCTATGAATGTTAGAAAAGAGAACATGATTTGCAAAACCTTCACTGAAAAAATAAAAGCTGGTATTGGATGGAGTAAGCAGGCAGCCACGTGGGGGAAAAAACAACAGTGGATGGATCCTTTTTGCTTTTTCTCTTAAACCAAC